GTTTCAAAGAGCTGGCCATCAATAGACATCTTTGCCAATTGGTGACCCCTACTCTTTCTACTTGGTCCTGCAGGTGCTTTTGCTGATGTCTTGAAAAGCATGCAGTGATGGCTGGGAACTTTCCATAGCTATCCGTTGGCTGCCACAGTAACAAGGACAACAGTCCAATCAGGTTTGACCTGCCTGGATGGTCTGGACTCTGCTCCCACAGCTCAAGGACAGAGTATCTGAAAAGTTCCATATAATCTCGGGTTGGTCCAGAGCAGAAATGCTCTATTCCAGCCCTGGATTTTGATGTCCTAGTAGATGGGGCCCTGCCCTTCCCCAACAGTTCATGCAAAATGGACAAATCTAGTATGTTACCAAACAAAATTTGTACTACTTATGAGTAAACAGTAAAATGGTATAGACATATTTAGAAAGTTTATATTTACACAAATATTGTGAAGTTTGTGCACATGACAATACACAAAAGAGAAATGGAGTGCCATTAAATGGCAGATTCACAGTTGATATGGCATGTTCTTTGTATCACTAAGCACTAAATAATTATAAACAACGGGCATAGAATAATTCCTGGCTTGTGTAAAGTATAACCTTAAACTCTAAAACGATCTTCAAGTCAACATATTTTAGTGAATGCTAAAGAATGCTTTTTCCTCTTTGACAGTAATGATATTATTTTTCAAATAAGGCTCAAGGCCTTCTCTAGCACAGGATCATTAAATGATACACAATTGGAGTTCTGTGTTATACCAGTAGATATTCAACTGCTGTTTAAACCTTCCTGTGATATTTAAATATACTGTGTATTTATACTTTACAGTGTTTCTGTATATCTCTTATTTGTATAAAGGTCATACAGACTGTATAAAGGACAAAATTATTAAAGTTACCTACAATTTCTGTTCCACCCACAAATAAGCAATCATCTTTTTATAGTCAAATGAAATGTGAAAAGTACTAATAAAATCAGTGTTACTTATTCAGTGTTACATTATAATGAAACATTTAATCTCAGAGTCATTAGTCTCTGGCCACTATGTGGCTTGTGTGCATACATACAAATACAGTATATGCATGTATGTGTGTGTAATAAATGAATTTACACTCAATAACAGTAACAACTGAGGGATATAAAAATATATGGGGAAGAAAGGGAGGGGTAACATTTTACGTCAAAGACAAATTCACTTGTATAGAAGTCCACTTGAGTAATCAAACTGGGTCAGTGGAATGCATTTGGATAAAAATAAATGGAGAAAAAACAACAATCTTGTGGTAAGAGTTTACTATGGGCCACCAAACAAAGATGTGGTGGTGCATTATGCTTTTCTGAATCAAATCTCACAAATCTCCAATAATCTGAATTATCCTTGTGTCTGCTGGGGGATTCGTTCAGCTACGCATAGTTTATATCCAACAAAATCTTGATGTGTCCTGCAGATAATTCCCTTTTCCAGAAGGTGAATGAAGGAACAAGAAAACCAGTAATCCTACAATGGTTCATTGAAACATCTGAAAAAGCCAGTGTGGTTGCACAGTAAATTTGAGAAGCAAGTGAAAAAAAGAAAAGTGGAAAAAAGGGAGG